AGAAATAGATTAAAATTGTAGATGACAAATTGCTTCCCCAATGAAGTAATTAAGTGTGCAGTTATTGCTGTCTTTTTGATATCACTGGGATTTGATAGCTTATGGAGTTGCTGCATTGACATTACTTTTTTACTCCCATTCTGTGTTTTCTTTCTACCACATCAGGGCATAACTTGACACTATTTCTTCCTTCTCCTGGGCTCTGTTGTTTTTAAGTTTAACCCCCCCCCCCCCCGTGTTCTTGTTCTAAAGCAAGCCTGTTGCAAATATCTTCCCTCCCCTCCTTTTTTCTTTTGTTTTAAATCCTTTTGGAAATGTACCTTGTTCTTATATTTTTATCCCTAGTCATCTCATTACTTATTTACTATGGCTGGACCCTTCTTCGTTTCTTCCCTGTTTTGTGTGCATGTGGAGGTGATGAGATGCTTCTCCTTCTGATTCAGGACAAACCCTTTGCAGCTGAGAATCCCAAGCCACAGTTTGACTCAGGTTTAGATAGACACCTAGCAAGTGATGGTGTCATTCCACAACTCAAAGAGCACTGTGGGAGCACCTCTGCATCTTTCCATTGCACACGTAGTTGCCCATAATGCCTGTGCAGCCAGGTGGACAAGCAGTTGCATAATGGGTTGCAGAACACTTATGTGAAAAAGACTGCAGGACAGTCATGCGCTAAAAGTCGTGCAATTGTAACTTTGCAACTTTAGCTGGACTCCTCTCTCACGCATAGTGCCCAACCTAGTTTCCACTAGCACAATGTAATTTGCTAATGAAATAACACAGTTGGATGCTGCCTCTAAGCTGATAGAAAAGCAAGTGTTGTGCAAAACAATGTCTGTCTGTCTGTCTGTCTATCTCCATTTCTATGCTACCCCATAACCCAAAGATTCTCTGGGTGGCTTACAAATGTTAAAACAGTATCAAGTACATAAGATACAATTAAAATAATTAATAAATGGATAAAATAGATAAAATAATAAACACCTCATAATAAAATACACCCAGGTACAATGCAGCCCATAAATTAACCAATATTATATTGAAATAAATAACAAAATATAAAAGTATGTAAAAGATATACATTCTGTTATTTCCACAGATTTTGTGTCTTAGCTAGTTCTCCAGTCAGTATTTCAATTTGAGCTTCATACAACAATAAACTAATGAAACAGTATTTTAGATTTCAGATCTAAGACACCAAGTTACAATAAAAGGACTTTATTTAAAAGGTGGACAAGATGTTTTTATTATTTGTCTTTTGTATTATGAAAATCTTTAACAACATTAAATGCACACCTGAACTTATATTAAAGAAGTTGTCTGAACCCACAACTACGCATGCCAATCAAAAAGTGACACATACTAAAAGATTACTGGGAAATTCCTGAAGTTTCTCATTCCATTGTGACTTATACAATAGAATATACAGAATAATATATTCTGACAACAGTTACTATTTCATTTGATAATACTGGTAATTCCTGTATTGCAATGCATTTAATGTATTTAGAATGGCCAGGATTCACAGTTGAGGCAACCTGGGGAAGAATGTATGGTGGCCCAAGAACTCTTTATTTTTGGTAATCTTATATTGTGCTTCATATCATGCCATTTCAGTATTTTGGTGACCAATTAAATGAATTAATTTTTTTAAAAAAATTAATATTAGGTGAGAGATAGGATAATCTCTTAGACTGACCATCTAATCCTTCCATATACACACACCTCATTCATAGAAATTTGAATGCCTGATCTGAAGAAACATTAGAAAATAGGCAAAAGGGTGCAGTGGACAAATCGTCTGCTACAAAACTGATCAGTTTCTACCTTTAAATACTAAAAAATCTATTTCCAGTTCCTTTTGGAAAGTGGGGCCTCCAAGTATCTGCTCAGCTAGGTAATTATACTGAAAGTAATAGAACCATTCATCCAAGTAATATTATCTTAGGACAAACAAGTCACTTTGAGAAGGAAGGACATTTCAACACTTCAGGTATTTCAAAACTAAAATATCACCAAAAAAAAAAAAAAAAAAAAAACAGAGCAAGATGCAAGTAAATTATGGAATTAAGGACTGCCACAGATCATAAGAAGTATACTGACCACCATCACACAAGATAGAAATGTTCTTCATTCATAATTTGGGGAACCAGGTTTTAGTGCTTTGAATAATTTCAACTCTTATCTACATTTTCACTTTAATCAACAGAATAAAGGTCAATTATGTGGCACTGTCTGCCATAAGTTTATGGAAAACTCTGAAATGATAATAGATTTGACCTATTTTTGTATGAAGCATGTTGATAAATCACTGGCAAAGCACATTTGTATGGAAATGTGTAGGGCTTGGTTAGAACAGGTAATGACTGGGAGCATGTATCTGATGAAAAGAACTGTCTCTTTATAATGTAACATCATCATCGTCATCATTATAGAATCTGTTGCATTATGCATGATGCGTGAAAACCCAACAGCCCCTTGAACTTTATTTCTCCTGAATATAGTATGCATGCACATACCTGTACACAGAGTTCAAATATCAATCATAAATTAAATGAGTTCTGATGACAGGTGATGAGGCCATCTTTCAAAACATCCACTGATTTCTGTATCACAGCAGAAATAGAGATTAAACAAAACTGACCAAATATTACTGGTGTTTTTCATTAGCCATGCATAGCCTTTCAGGATATATCACTGGCTATATTACTGCTATGTTAGAATTATGACTGAATGCATTGTGCATCCATAATCAGATGTGCTAGCCATGGGCAAATTCACAAAACCTCTTTGCAAGGATTTTTGTATTAAAACTAATTAACATTGTTTTAAAAAAATGCTGCTTGGTTCATCAGGGACATCTCTTTAATCTATTAAAACCTTTCAGTTGATTAATATAACTGGTTGCTCAGCTGCAAGACCCAGATGCTGTTAGTGGTGTCATGCATGATGTCTTTCCCACTTTTCCAGATTTAGACAAGAACTTAGAAGCACAGACTTCTTATGTAACCTTTACTGGTTACAGTATAATACACATCTCAAGATGTGGGAGAAGCATCCACGCTTAAGAAAAGTTGAATCCAAACTGAAATATGCCAGCTTTCCCTGCATTTCAGAGCCTATTCTCTGGCTCTATCCCCAGGGTGGCTTCTGCTGCTTGAGGACTGGATGGCAGGAATGCCAGACATTTCTTAACTGGTCCATTTCCTTCACTTGTTTTCTAACAGCATCAAGGAACTTCTCTATTGTCCTCACCACCAACTATGAAATGTCTCCCTCCTTTTCCAAGGCAGGCTGATTCTCATGCTCTGCCTTAGAGTCTTTACTAAGCAACCTTGAAACTTCAGGTCATCTGCCCACCTCTGCCCCTGGACTTCCTTCTCAGAACTGGATGACTGAGCAGACAATAATGTGAAAGAGCTGCACCCACCCCCTCTCCGCAGCTTGAGATCAGCTTTGTAGCTTGATCCATCTTGATCCTAACCCGAAACCATCTCTATTATGTGAGGCTCAGGTGACTTCAGTGGCCCAGAGTGCCTTCTGCCAGCTTCAGATGATGGAAGAGCTGGCCTCTATCTGGATGGGGATGCCCTGCCTTCAGTAATCTATGTCGTGGTACTCTCTAGATTATATTACTGCTATGCACTCTATGCTACCCGAGAGCCTGTTCAGAACCTGCAGCTTGTGAAAAATGCAGCTAGAGGTTCCAGCTCTGTATGAAGAAAGTATATTTGAATTTATCTGAAGTCACAGAGTGGACATCAGACTGGTTAATTAATCAAAATTTAAATTAAATTAAAACATATCTAGACTAGTTCCTCTAGCTCAATCATTTGTATTTCCAGTTAAATTACTCTAATGCAGCCAACCAACAAATGATTCCTTCAGTTGCAGTAGGGAATGTGCAACACAGGAAAAATAGGGGAGAAGAGGCATGTATAGAGTTTGTGGAGACTCAGTGAAAGCTAAGTCAGTTAAAAATGCTCTTGACTCAGTCCCCAATTATCCTAGAATTATGAATAAGCTGCAACAAGTCTTGGGCTGGCATAATCTTCCTCTGCATGGAAGAGAAGTATATTAGGAGCTTCTAATTTGTGGCGTTTGTTTGCCCTTTTGTATAAATACAGTCAATCCTCAAGGAACTCAACCCTGACTGTTCTTTAGAAGTACAGATACTGAAGCTGAAGCTCAGATACTTTGGCCACATAATGAGAAGGAAGGACTCATTGGAAAAGACCCTGATGCTGGGAAAGATTGAAGGCAAAAAGAGAAGGGGGCAGCAGAGGATGAGGTGGTTGGATAATGTTACTGATGCAATTAACATGAATTTAAGTGAACTCCTGGAGGCAGTGGAGGACAGGAGGGACTGGCATGCTGTGGTCCCTGGAGTTGCAAGGAGTCAGGCATGACTTTGCAACTAAACAACAGCAACACTAAACACAGCAAACATGGGTGCCCAAAACTGGGTGAAGTCTGACCAATGCAGAGCAGAGAGGACAGAGTACCACTCTGTTTCTGGGAGTGATGCCACTGTTTAGCGGTAGAGTTTGCCTGTTTTGCGGCTGCATCATTTAATCTGCTGTGCGTGGAACTGATTCCAGCTCCATACTGCTCCCTCTAAATCTGCTCTGGAATGCTGGGAAAAGTGCCTTCCAGAACAGTGCCAGAGTTGGTGCAGAGAACTGCACCGGAAAACAAGAATAGGTGAGAATTTTTGCCCTGTCCCCTCTGTTAGTGGAAGACTTTGCTGATGGAAAGGCCCTTTCATCTACAGACTATAGGATCTAACCTATAGTCATCAGGTCATTGAATGCATTCATTTGACAGCAGAGGCACCCAAATATTACATTAGTATTTTAATATATTTTAATTATATATATAAACTCTCTCTCTCTCTCTTAAAGATGCCTTTATATTAACTGTTGTATAAATACTAAGTAAATAAATGGTACATAATTCCAATATATTTTGTTAACTCATTTTCCTTTTTGATTTTATAGCTTGCACATGCAGTGGACATGCAAATATTTGTCACATGCAAACAGGAAAGTGTTTCTGCACAACTAAAGGGATCAAAGGAGACCAGTGTCAACTGTGAGTACAAATAATAGTGCCTCAATTGAGCAATTGGAATCTAAGTATAAAGTGGAATTTGTTCAGAACATTTCCACTTCTGCCAGGATGTAAGCTCTTGAAGTGGCCCCTTTATTGATTATTCCATTGGAGCAGGGGTAGGTAACTCCAGATGTTTTGGCATTGCCAGTGGTCAGGATTGTTAAGACAAAAACTTCTGGAGAGCTCCAAGTTGCCTACTGTTGCTTTGGAAAAGTACAATGTTTTTTTTAAATCAGGATGGATATCTGTTTTGGCTTGAGGGCTGAGCTGGCTCCAGGCAAGTGCATCTGGAGTCACATGTCAACAGTTGGTAGAGCTGCAGCCCCTGCTGACTTGTGTTTGGATACAGTTCTTTCCCTCATTCAGTTACACTTATGTACTCCCCACACATATGCATACATGACTGTGGTTTTAGCTCTCTAGCTCCCTATTTCCCTCCTCTGAGACAACAGGGCAACATCATCCAGATAGACCTGTCTGGAGGGCTCTTTGTTCCTGTTGTAAAAGTCATTGCTTATTGTCTAATTATCTAAAGTGTAAATTAGTCTCTTGAAATATTGGGCTGTTCTGACTGCTGCTTTATTTGTACCTGGAACCCAAATCAAAATTTTAAATTACTATATGCGAAATACTGGGTGATTATATCTTAACACTTCAGAAATATTTTGCAGTGGGTTAGTCTTCAGATTTTTCCTTATGTAATTAGATTTTGAAATTAGTTTACTAACCTTTTCCCATATGAAGTGAAATAGTTGCTACAAGGCATTACTTGTCTCTTAATGCCTGCCTTTGTAAAACAAAATAATATATAGCATTTTGTTCAGCTTAGAATTCTTTTATCTCCTTAATATAAAGGACACTTTGAAATACATAATTCCTGATCATTCTCGCCAAGACAAATGCTTTTTCTTGCAACTTAATAATAACTCATTTCCATAATAATTATGAGGGATTAAGAATGCTGGAGTGTTAATAGTTTTCAGCGAATGACTGGTCTTGGTTCTGTTGTTGATACGTTTTCTTTTTTAAAACAAAAAACATTGTTTTGTTTTTAAAAACAAAATGAAATCAATGGAAATGCCACTCTATTTTTTTATATGTTGCTTGCAAATTGAACACTTAATGAAGCTGCATTCGAAGAAGATATTATGCAGCAATCTTGTGAAGTATTTTTGGGGAGGTTCTTCCTTGGAGGGCAGTCACATTCAGCAGGAGAGCCAAACTAGAATTTCAGCCTAATCCAGAAATCTACAGGGTAGACACAGGCACTTCCTTGTACAGATTCAAGAGCATTGCATCAGTGACCCATCATCTCAGTCCATCATTAACAGTGAATAGCTAACTGCGGGCATGTTTGTAAGGGCTTGCCATAATTCTCTTTATTAGGGAAAGCAACTGGAGGGGTTCCCTGGGAAAACTTGGAATTTGGAAGGCTTCCTAATTTATTGCTATTTATTCAGAAAAATCTTCTTCCATTTTTAATGGAAGCCAAGAGATTACATGTAAATATATATATTTAAAATGGCTTAAATTAATTAAGCCTGCAATGCTGAATCATGAACAAACATGTTCAGAAAGTATAATGGCTGGTAATGACAGACATTCTCTGCTCCCTGGTGCCCATTCCTTTTCATTTTTGCTGTGAAGAGGGTTTTCAAGAAGTTTGTATATGTCTCCTTAAAAGCATCGCAGTCAATAGATTGAACTGTACTCCAAATGAGAGTATTCCTGCACATTGCTCTTTCTAAGCCACATCACGTACTAAAATCATGTTCAAGAGTATGAAGGAGTTAAGTGTAGTTTTCAGTGTTGGTACCTTTTTGATTTGTTAAGTTCTGCATTACTACACTTTGAAGCAAACTATACAGGCTGGTAAGCTGTACCTGTGGATATGAATTGTTTTTTTCCACTAGTTGGTCAGGCCATTGTGCAATCTCAGCAGCAAGCCTGTAAATCTGTGATTACTAAACCAAGGATTTCCATGAAAATTTCAAAGTTTAGCTGTTAACCCTGGAAGTTAGATTTATATTCCTGTCAAGAATCCTATTGATTACAAAGTCATTGCTATAGGGCAAATTGTTGCTCCTCCTTTCACCCCTCCCTTTCTAGTTCTTCATGGTGTACAATGAATTCCATACCATAGAGGCAGGGGATTTGAGAAACCAGCCAGCCTATATAACACAAATTATTTTAAAGTGGAAAAAGCTATAGAAGTTCAGGGAGGAAAAGGACCTTATGCTTCTCAAGGCAGCCACACTTTTCATTCAGTAATGACCATTTTTCTTTTCTAGATCAAATAGAAATTTAATCATTTATTCATTATATTTATATTCCACCTTTCTGCCTTTCATAGTGGCTTACATAATTCTCCTCTTCAGAATCTTATCCCCACAACCACCACCCTGAGAGGTAGGTTGGACTGAGAGGCTGTGACTGGACCAAAGTCACCCAGTGAGCTCCCAGATCTCCTGAGTTCCAGTCCTACTGTAATGTTAATGATTGCGGAACATTTAAAGCACAATCTGGTTTAGTGAACAAGTTAGATTAAGGTGCAATCCTGGACAAAACTGGCAGCTCACAATATCTTTTAACACCAGTAGGTCTATGGTTTAAACAGTACAAATACCCTTTGTAGCCTTTGTCAGGAATACTGCTGACACTCAGACTTAGGCACTATGGTTTGTGCTTCCAGGTAAGAGCCCACACCATGGCTTGACTATGCAGATACATAAAAAGCAAACCATGGTTTAGAGCTCTTATATATATTTATTGCTATCTGGTCAGCATTGAGCTTCATGTGTTCATTCCTGTCTCCATGGAGCTCTTGAGGGACAGCAATGGCCCTAATTATGGCTTGTCAATGGCATATCAATGGTGGATTCAAATCCCTGAAGCTGCGCCCTGAAGAAACCATAGTTTAGAAATAAAAGCAAAGCATGTTTGGCTATTGGAGGATACAGAACTGTAATAAATACACAACAGACTGTGGTCATGCATCATATGTGTGCCCCGCCTTCATCTGCAAGTCCAAATATTTTCTTAACCACATGCTTAGGACATGCCAGAAACTCTCTCATGAAGTATACTGTTCCCAGAGATGCACCTGATGTGACCACCTCCAACTGTTCTAACTTTTACATGTGTTAGCAGCATACAGAAGTTTTTTAAAACAATGACAGCAGTCTGAAACATCTTAAACAGGTTTCTGCTTCCAAACACAGTTTAATACATATTCTGTGTTCCTGATCTAAATATTTATTATAAAATACACTGAAATGCCCTGCTGTATACTCTGGAAAGGTTATTAATGCCCCTTTTCTCTTTTGTTGTTGCGCATGAAAGACGGTTGACTTTGTCCTCTAGCCTAGTAGGCAGGGATGTATTTTATGTAATCCTGTAACAAGTTCACCATTTTGCTGATTTCATTAGCACATTAACCACATACTTAAAGGTAGATTTGACAGTTTTTGTCTTCTGTTTCCTGATAACATTCAGGTTCAGTTCCCAAGAGGAGAAGCAAAGGCAATTATATTGCAACAACATTTAAAAAGTACTTCCTCTATCAAGGAAAAATGTGATAGATTCTCAGAAATGTTTAACTTGGTAATGAATAAAAATTATTTTACTAGCTGTGGAGCATTTTATGTTTCCTGCCCCCAAAAATATACTGCTACAATGAGTCTCACATTCCTTGAATAAAAGTATGATTTTCCAAGAATGCACTGCATGCAAAGACATTCTTCTGCAAGCATATGAACTGCTGTAAAATTTACTTTTTTTATATTGTTCCTCACTTGCAAGATGTGAAGTGGCACATGCTCTTTGGGGTCTAACCCTTTCTCAGGAGATTTTTAAGATTTCTACCTTTATGGACCATTTCCTATGGATGACCCTTCTAAAAAGTTTGTATAAGGCAGCATTCTCCAATTCACATTATGGGGCTGTTACATGCTTGTAGCCCTTTCAAAAGGGCATTTCACCATACAGTACAGAATTTCCCCATTTATCAGTCTATGCACAGTGAAGCACTGTAAAGTAGGAGTTTAACAGCATTTGCACCCTTCTGGTACTCCCATTAACTACAATCCCAAGAATCTATCTTTCAATGCCTGTAGGGCTTTTTTCTAATTAAATGGGACTAGAAGAAAGCCCATGGTTCACTAGACTGAGGACCTTGTCTTCTGAGATACCTAGTTTTACTATATTCCCTAAACACTATTTGTATTTCAGAAATAATTTAAATAAAAGGTAAATATGAACATGAAATATAACAATTAAGAACTAATCTCTAAACAAACCCTTTCAAAATCATTTTGATTTACACAGGATTTGTCTTCTCTTTCTGCTTCCCTAATCTTTTCCTTTCAGTCAACCCTTTTGTAGCATTTCTTTATTCTGGATGAGTTCCTTCCTTCCTTCCCACTACAGTATATGGCTCTCTTTTTAGGTAGTATCTGATTTTCCCTGAACATATGAAGTCACTTAAGAATATAAAGTACAAGTCTACATTTTACCCTGAAAAGGTTAATACCAGGTGTATTTGTAAAATTGTAAAAAAGTGTTGTCATGTACCTACATCATTGTGTGTGTGTGTGTGTGTGTGTAAAATCACAAATGCAACCTATATACCACTAACAGTCACCAAGCAGACTTGCAGCTTAACTTACCTTATGGGGTTGTTGCTATAAGAATAAAATGAACATGAGTTACTTACAAGAAGAAGAAAGGTGAGGTATAAATAAAATGCAATAATAATACTTCTGAGCAGAAATTCTTTCTAATACACAATTGTAAGAATTGAATTTGTGGGGAAAGTAGTGTATTCAGTTCCACAGGTGCTTGCCATGACCCCACCCCTTTTCCATTGTTCCCATCTATCACTGGAATGCAACCCCTAAGAATATGTCCAAATTGGAATCTGGGCCTTAGGTTCCCAGATCCTGGTATAAAACAAACAGCATCTATATTTCATGATCCAA